AATTTTCTGTTAGTATACCTCATTTTTAGAGCATTGGATTCAGTATTTAGGGTACTGATCCACAGGGCTAATAAACATAACTTCAGGAGCAACTAAGCCTAAGCAGAGTGTCCCCTGCCACAGCTCAGTCAGTACCCAGTAGGTAGGAAAGACACGTCCACTTAGGGAGGTGCCCTGTGCTTTGTGGCCAGTCCACCTGGCTGGCTGCAGAGAAGGCAAGAGCATGCATCCTCTCTATTCTCGAGTCTTGGTCTTGCAAACAGCAGTGTACAGAAGCGTGCACTAACATCAACGAAATGTGGGATCAGAATGACAGGGTTGTGAAGCGAAAGAAGAGGAGGAATGCTCTGTGCGCTCCCCTCTACCCACCGCACTAAAGAGAAAGGTAATAATCTTCTAAGTCTGTAGTATATAATATACTTGTAGAAAGAAGTAATCCCATACAAAATGAATGTGAATGCTCAGTGCAGCAGAAACTGTCAAAACGCACAGAAGCTGCAATTTATCCCAAGGACATTACCACTTTGTGTGACATATGCTTATAGCATTATCACATCATATCAAATTCTTCAAAGCCAAGGAAGAATCTCCTTTAATTATTTTACTCTCAACCTTCAGCTTGTCATTGTTTTGTATTTCCTTTTCTTCCTACGCTTCACAAGTGTTTTTAAAAAAAAAAAAAAAACCTTTCAAAATTAAACAAATGTTTTTCAAGATCTCTGAATTGTGGTGAGACAGTTTTAAGGAATTTTATATAATAAACAAGTAATTTCTGAATTCTCCCTAAAGATAAGGGTTGAAATTTGTGATCCCTTTGACACTACTTTCCATACTAAAATATCAAAGCTGGTGTTCAGTTTCTTATGGCTTTATTTCTTGGCTGAAAGGACATGGTTTGGTTAAGTTTGTAAGATATCACATCTCTTTTGTCACTTATGGATATTCTATAATTGAAAATATTGCAGGATAATTAAACTTCAGGAATGACTCTTTTCAATTCCAATTGAAAACAGCCTAACTTGTTATAAAACCATCCAGCACTCAGTGGGGACAAGGCAAGCTGGATGACTATGAAGTCAGAACTGAGACCTGTTCTAATGTGAACAGCCATGTTTTTGTTTTGCTGCACTATTTAAGCCAACCGTATACTCAGGTATGTGAGGGAGTACTGGCTCTAGCACTGGCTACAGATATGAGTAGTACACACAGGTTTCATCCTCAGTTCTGTCAGTATTACTCAAACCTGAACTACCATTTCAGAGCTTGCACTCTTTCGAGTAGCTTGCCAGTCCTACTGACTTGTGCCAAATGGTGTGCTGACAAACACATTAGATGCCACTGAAATAGGATAACAAACTGTTTCCGAAAGCGTCAGCTCTTAATTCCCTAGAGTCAGTTTGTTAGCTTGCCTTGTCCCCACTGAGTGCTGGTTGCTTTTATAATAACATATTTTGTTTTCAACTAAAATTGAAAAGAATCATTCATACGGAAAAAGAAGCCCTTTAAAATGTTAGGGTGCCCAATAATATGCACACACCAAGCTTATGAATCAGTCAGCATTCAATATCTGCCCTGATCAAAGCATATTCCAACGAACACTAACTGCATCATAAGTAGGAAAACAAAGATGGAGTTTGAGCAGGTTCGGATGAAAAACACAAAATTACTATGGGAAAAGTGTTATGGGGGACCATCTGCTGCATGGGAGAGAATGCCCAGAGAAGGACACTCACCTTGGAGACTCCATCACTTGCCTTCCAAGCCGGCCACCTTTTTCTGGTTTTTTTTTTTTTTAAACTTTTAGGTAACTTTCACATTCAGTGTCAACATATGCCCATCAGCTATGGACTCTGCAAATACATCTTTGTGCATGTAAAACCGTTTCAGCATCCTTTGTGCAACACACCATCCACACAAATATGAACTACTGTATCTGGGAGTGTAGTTCTTCACAAGCTTAACTGCCCTCAGCTCCCAAACACACACTCCTGCCCCATCTCTAGTGCCGGCCCTAGGTGAGGAGCTGTTTCAGGACACACGTTAGTCAGAAAGTAACTCCTCTCTTCTCTCCTCCCACTAAAAAAAAAAAAATTCATTTCTGAGCAGCTCAGCTCCCAGTGCTGAACCCAGGAATACTGTAGGGACCCAAGGCTGAAGACAGAGGGAGGGGGAGGAATCGTCACCTAAACATAAATTATCTTAGGGAGACATAGAAGCTAGCTCTCAACTTTGCATGCAAATAGCAGCTCTTAGACCACATTTCTATGAGTTACTGAAAAGGATCTTTTGTGTCACTTGAAACACTAGACTTAATTGGTCTAAAGAGATGCCCTGGGGTGAACTTAATACTCTTCTTTTTTCCCCCCCTCAAGTCATTCATCTTGCCAGAATCAAAGTTCCTAACAGAATTCCCTAATCTTCATCTCTTTGAAAAACACATTTTTTAAAATAGAGATTCGCCATGAGAATTAAGTCACAACATAAAAGAAAAAAAATGGCTTCCAGCTTATTTAGCATATTTAGTAACTGTTTTAATAACAAAGCTATTTCCTCAATCTAGAGTCAGAAGCTGATGACAAAGAAAGATACTGGCCACAGCATATTACTTAAACTATTTTTCAGATCTTATTTTTAAACAGTCCATAACGTCTGCGTTTATTTGGGAACTCCAGCACTTCTATTCCACTGCACTACTACTGCTAAAAATCAGCAAATGAATGCTGCATACAATATGGCAATAAGTTATTTTAAAAAGTAATAAACATAACATATATCATACTACTAGAACATAATATAGTACTTCAGCATGTGCTTCACATGCGGGACTTGACTTACTACTACAACAGAGCTAGAATCTGTCTTCACATTTCTCACTGGTGGGTGGGTAAGAGGTGATAAACAATCATTTCCAACATAGGAGTAGTTACAAAAATATTATCAGGTGGTACCATTATTGTTTCCTCTTTACTCTGGTATTAGTAAGTTAGCAAGCATGCATGCAGTGGCAGGTTGATGTATATATATAGGTTTACATAGTCATTTAATAGTTACTTACTCATTTACTATCCACAGTAAATTCTCACATCTCACATGGGCCACTGTACTCAGATAAGTACAGTGAAGCTGTCAAGCAAAGATTCTGGCCTTCTGTCCCACCCCATTTGTTATGTGAGTAGAATAATCAAACACCTCTGCTGCCTCATGCACTGGAGGAATCAAAGCTCGTGTACCACTTTACCCTAACATGGGAATGAAGTTCAAGAAAGAAATAAACTTAAAGACTGTATTTGATGTAATATTCATTTGTGATGAAAGAAAGAACATCCTAAAAGTCAGCAGCTACTAAGTGTTTTGGGGTTCTGCTTTGATGAAGATGTTCAGTAAGTCATCCGGATTCTGGAATTCCAGGTTTTTTTGCTAGCTTGCACTTTTTCAGCCTTGCCTTTTTATCCTAGTCAAACTAATCTCTTTATAAAAGCAATCTGACTAAGTTTGGGAGTTCTAAATATTAAGAAAACTTATTTCACGTACCACAGTCAGCTACCTAAACCATCATATATGCAAGTGGAGACTAATCAGCAGTGACCAGAAATATAACACAAGTAAATACAGTAATCAGACACTGTTCTGTAGAGTTATGAAAGTTGTCTTGTCAGGATGAAAATGCCCAAACCCAAAAGTTACTATGATTTAAAAATCTGTGGAGAAAGTAAAATTAGATCAAGTCATCTGAAACATTTTCCTTAGACAACTATGAAACGCTGCATTTTCATTTCAAGCTCCTTAACTTTTTAAACATTACTATAAATTCAGTTCCTAACAGAAGAATAATTTTGACCCAAAACATTTCTTCAGGGTGTGTTACCTTATCCTTCTTGACAATTATTAAGTGTCTAAAAATTAACAGGAAATGCGTTAAGCAAACCTCTTTAAGAAAAGCAGCATTATTCAGTGAAAAAACATTTTTTGGAAATTCCTGACCAGTTTTTGTCTTTTTTATTTTACAGAATATACTTTGGATCACTTCCGAGTTTTAGCCCACATTCAAAAGAGCTCATCTAATATAGTTCTATAGGAAATCTATAGAAAAAATAGGGAAAAACAGAAAAAAATCTATTCTAGAGAAAGAATTCTTACAAATAATACATATATTACCTTAAACTTCTCTTAGATCTTTATATTAGATACAACTTACATTTAGATTCAGGATGAATGAGAATAGTTTTTCTATTTGTACTAAAATTGTACAAAAATTGTGCAAACAAAGATATTTCAAAAACTTGAAGCACATTGAAGAACAAAACTGCTCCGCTCACTTAACGTTTTCAATTTTTTTTTAAGGCTTTGACCTACTTGGGTGTTTAAAAACAGAATTTTGAATACTGTCTTCTGAAAGATTACTCCAAGTAATTACAGTAATTACAACATCAATGGATGGCTCTGAATACAGGTTTTTAAACTGTGAAATAAAGGATCTTTGTAAATCAAACATGGTGGGATTAAGGAACTGAGATATTTGAACTTGGTAAAGCTTTTATCACTTTACAATGGTAAAAACTAGAAACTTGTGCATGGTTTCAAGACTGCTTTCAAAATGTAGCCCTCCTAATTTTATATCCAACTTCCAAGAAGAGTGCTTCATTTTTAATGCTATAGATTCTAATCATGTGACATAAAATATCAGCAAAGAAAAGTAAAACTTTTTTCTGAAGCTAATACTCTGCCTCCTTGCTGTCATGAATGGAGACTGTAACTCCAGTTTGCACATTTAAAACTAAATAAAAACAAGATTTACACCTCTTTACTCCTTTTGACATGCTTATCGCATCTGCCTTCTTCAAGGAGCAGATTATGTGTGCTTCTAAATGAGGCTGCTCAGACTCTCCTTATTAAAAAAAAAAGTTTATTTTACACTGAAATAATCTGTGAAGTTCATAAAGATTTAATACACATTAATAAGCAAAGGAGAGAGAACAGCAAATAATAGAAAAAGTACAAACCTCTGATTGTACATGCCCCGAAAATTATAATTTGCTCTATAATTAGGGATGGGCTTTGGATCTAATGGCCTGTAGATGGCAGGCTCTCCTCTTTTCATAGCCAGACCATTCAGCTCCACTGTTGGAGTTATACTGCCTGGAAAAAAATAAGAATACATGTACGGCACTTAAAACACAAATCCTGCAAAACACAGATACAGTATTGCTAAAGAAGAGAGAGCTGTAATACACCTATATGACTTCCTTGCTCTTTAACTACTATGCTGTCTCTGCTTTCCTATGAGACGAGAATAGAAATGCCAACTTAATCACAACCAATGAAAAAGAACATTTAAATAGTCATCTTAGAGTATTCTCTTTACAATTTCTGTAGATTAATCTTCATAGATGAATGAAAAAGTCAATGCTATAATTGAAGCGGTTATTCTTCTTTCCAAAGTGCCTGTAATATATGGTGATACTTTCTGAAACTGTATGAAATTTAAAAGTATGTTTCTTCCCACCAAATACCATTAAAAAAAAAAAATCAGTAAATCAAAGATGTATTGAAATAAGACTTGAAAATTTAAGACTATGACTAAAAACTAATGAACTGGAATGATCTAACAAACTAGTACTGGAAATCAGTGCAACTACAGCCATCTACTGGTGACAGAACACAAAAATGAAAAACAACCACACTTGGTCTACAAAATGCCAAACACGAAGCTACGTTATAGCTTCATCTAAATACCTTTTTTTAAAAAGGAAATCCATTAAAAAGATTTAAATTATTTTAATATAGCACATTTATAAGTTTTCATGAAAAAATTGCTCCACTATGGTATTCCTCCTTCCGCTGTTTTAAAAAAACTCCTACATGATCTAAATGCACAAATGCATTCCAGTAAAAAGTAGTCAATATTTTCTCAAACTACTTTGATAATGTTCAAAGGAATTTAACCTTAATATGGCTATGATAAACGTGGCAGCTCTGCCATTGCAACTTCATATGTCAAAAGATGGAAGTTTTTATACTTAGGTCAAAAAATCCATCAACTACAATTTTGATATCTTCCTAAGCAAAAAATGACAACGAATTCAACTATATAACAAAAAAGCAAAATGCCATTTGATGACAAGACACTCATGCAGGTATAATAAACCTATCTAAAAGTAAACTACAGTGTTTTGTGATATATTTTTTTAATTGAATATCTTTAAAGGCTATTTCTTTTGTTATCAGCTTTTCCTTTTAAAAATATGACAAAAGCAAACAAAATCTAGACGCTCAGGGATATGCTACAATGCCAGGAATCAAACGTAGGACTCTTTTTCTACAGAGATCTGACCCTGCTGCCTTCTAACAGAAGTCACACTGACTACAAAAGGAGGCAGGGTAAAATCAGCGTTCTGCTGCTGAAGAAGCAATGCATTGATCCCAGAAGCAACAAGGCAACGCTACAACATTACTCTCAAACAGCTCTTAATGGCCAGTGCTCAGGATAATACTGAGATGCTCTAGAGGAAAGTTTGCCCAGCTCTTTGCCAACATGGAGAAGGTTAACTGCAAAATGAATCCTCTTTAAGAAACTGGCTGCAAAAAACTTTAAAGAAAGGGGGGTGGGGAAGAAGGGGGAAAAGGGGGAAAAAAGGAAGAAGAAAAAAAGGGAAAATGGAAAAGATGAAATTTTTTCTCATCAGCTTGCTTTTATATTTGTGTGAAATAAAATTAGGAATACAAATATTCCTTTATTCCAACAAACAAGACAGAAAATCATTGAACACATGTACCTCAAAAGGTGTTGCACGCATAGAAGACAACTCACAGGTAACATCTCAAAAAGAAGGATGTCAGACTCCAACCCGTGTTCTTTCAGTTTTTCAAACAATAAAGATTCCAAAGCTGTTTGCTAGCTTATTTTAAGTCTCTATGAAGTAAAATCCATTATTCAGGGAATAATCTGTTAAAGTTCCCATGCCAAATCCTTTTATTTACACCACAGATATAATTTCACAGGAGCGGACTGGGTAAAATTTGGTCCTCTCACTGTAAAATCAGCTAAAATAACTCTTTGCAAAATTCAGTATTTCACTATGGCTAGTTCAATCTAGTTTTGTCTGGCTGTCTACTGTCAGCTATATCATCACGCTGCACATAGCGAAGTCTTATATAAATAATCATACTCACTGATGGTTCAACTGTTGTAGGTATGTTGTATGAAAAACTCTACTGTGCAAACTCACTTTAGGTTCTTAATTATACTATCATACCTGTAAGACAGCTGTATTGATTCTCATCTGCCAACTCTAGCTATATCTGGTTAAAATTATCTGTCAATGGGATAATATTCCAACACTTCAACAAGATTTATTAGGCACAGGAAAACGTCATACCTGGATTATTATTAACATTATTTTTGGGTGGTCTAGGAGTTGGTTTGGGAAGGGTAGTTTCATTCAAAGCTTTGCTAGCAGCAGCATGTTGGGCCTTTTTAATACTGCTTCCTTCAGCTTCCCATGTCTGCTCTCCAAGAGTCAGCTGCACTGTGAACATCTTCAAAGACAAAGAACAGGTAAACACTGGCAAGATTATCACTGTGAGTTAGACCAATCTGTGTAAAAACTTACGTGCCTGAAGAGAAACTCTGCTCCCTTTTCATTATACTCATTCAACTCTCAGATAACATATTTGATTCTTATAGAGATCAGTGGGTCCTTATCAGTGGGCAACATTGGGCCCTTTAAATGACAAAGTAAAGCAGCATAATGTTACATCACCTATCAAAGAAGAGAGTACTGTTTAAATCAAGTGCAAACTGGACCTTTGCTCTTGGAAGACCGATATATATGTCATTTCAGATCACATTTCTTCACACATTTGAACAAGTTTAGTCATTGTTACCTGTAGAAAACAGGTGCAGCATGCTATGAAAAGGGAAGAATGTAATTTTACAACAATTCTAAACGGATATAAATGACTGCACACTCTTCAAAACAGTGGAGAACTTGGTCCAGATATTTTTACACAGTGAAAAGACTTCCTCTAGTACAGTGTCATTTCTGAAAATAACACATATTGTTAGGGCAGAGTCACAACAACCAGTATGAAGTATGAAAGAAAAAAACAAGTATTATCCTTTTAAAAGAAACTGTAGTTCTTTAATGTGGACTCTAGAGTGAAGATAGGAACTGCCATAATTCAGAGTTCAGAAAACTAACTCCTGATGAAACTGTATAGATTCAAAAATCTGTAGTAAAGGATTATTCCAAGCACTATCTGTGCTGCGTTAGTTGTGGAGATAAAGCATATTTAAGATACTAAACAGAGAACTTCTGCTGTATATCTTATGTTCTGTTTAAATTTGAACATCTAACAACAAGAGCAGAGTAAACAAGATTAAAAACTCAGTATCTTTTCCAAGTATCAGTCCCATACATCTAAAGCAAGGTTTAACAGTCAGGTGCACATGTTAAACTAAGATATATCTGCATCTAAAAGCAGACTAACTTACTTTGAGGCAACACAAAGAAGTCTACATATCAGTGTCAGTAGCACAGAAGGTGACATTTTCATCTGGACACTTATTTGCTCTGTACTTTTCAAACTGAGTCAAATTTGCTAGAACCAGGACCAGGCATCTAGAGTTAGGCATGATGGACAACCTTGAAATCTACCTATACATGCATTTTTATACAGCATGTTTTTGCAAATAAGCATTTGAACACAAATACAACTCAGTTCTGTAAGGAATTGAATTCTACAAATACTAATACTCTATATATACTATATATAGAATATTAGATAAATACTAAATACTTCTATACTTTTATCTTCACTGCAGGCTTGAATTTTGGCCTACTGTATTTTTCACAATTACAGTGCAAGTCCTAGGATCACAATTCCTACTGCCATTTCATTTTTTCACGCTGTCATGACAATTTCCTCATGGACAAGGGGGAAGAGAGAGAAACAATCTTAATTTTGCGTTCTGTCAAAAACTACCCTCACCTGAATGCTAGGCAGGGTATTAGAGCTAAATACTCATAATTATGTAATTATCATAAACATACAACCTTAACAGACCTAAAATTTGTTCTGGATCTGGACTTTATATATTTCAGATTCTACAAGCAAATATCAGTGTAGTGTTTTTTATAGGAGAGGAATAATCTTGAATTTCAATAAAATATGATCAGTAATGGCTACTTATCTACCTGTCTGTTCACAACTCTCTTCCTAGTTCTTCAGGTAATCTACAGGAATTCAAGGTAATAAAAGGCTTACTTAATAAATTTCTATAGATGGAGGATTAACCTTCTCATTTAGCCCATTTGACAAAAACCTCTTGCTTAAAAAAAAAAAAGAAAGAAAGAAAGAAAAAAACACAGACACAATAGTAGGTGGGAATCTAATTAAAGGAGTAAAACTGGCTAAAAAGTCTGGACTAAGCAACGAAACATGCAAGTTCTGGAAGACCCAAGCTGACAATTTTGCTACAGTTTGGTAGGCATTTCTCACTAATTTTCTGAGGTAGTTTTTATTCTTTGAGTGTAACCTAATTACATGATGGCAAGAGACCAGAAACGCAAACGCTATCACGCTTTGTGCTCTTTAACTCCACTGTCCTCGTAAGGTCAGTCTCCCTTAGCTCTGGCAATTCTTTCCTGCTCACTTTTTCTGCATGCAGAACTTTCTCTCTTCCTTCTAAGGCTTTTGAAGTGCTAGTCCCTTCACACTTTTCCTTTTCTTTGTGCCACTATCTAGTTTCTTCTGCCATTATTTCTTTTAAGTTTGTCTCCTGAGATGCCACTGGCATCGAAGCACATAATGAAGTTGACTACTACCCCTGGAAATGTAGTTTATGCCAACAAAGGCTTTCCGTTTTTTTTTTTATGATGAAAAATCCATTTAGAGGGCAGACTTCTAGAAATCATAGCTACACTGCTAGTAAGCACCACTTCTCTAACAACTCCACTGTTATCAGCTTCCCCTTTGACCATGACCCTCAGAATGTATTTGCTAAAGAAACCTAGAAAAAAAGGATATAAAAATTTACTAGCATTTGTAGTCATGACACAGATAGTTGTCTTGTACAGTATTCCTCTGAAAATTATGAAAACCACTAGTGGATGGGGACAGAGTACGTGGAGGTGAAAAGCACTATGGAACACTCCTCCAGGGGCAAACAGCAGCAACATTACATCCTTTCTGTCACGTTTTCCAGGACAAAGACTTAGCTCTGTTTCACATAGTCTATCAGCTATATTATCATGTGACTAGCAACACATACAAAACAGCTAACACTGTCAGAATAATTTCTTATATCACTCCTTTCCACAGGTCAAAGGTATGCAAGTCTGCATAATCCTATTAATATCACTTTTGTTGCTCTTCATCCGCTTCCCTTCTCATTTGCCACACAGGTCAAAATTAGACTTAACAGTTTTCTGAATAACAACTAGTCTGCAGAGCACATAACATTATTTGGAGCACTATGAGAATAATTAAAGTAGTAAGAAGATGTAAATCGAAAAAGCTGAAAAATGAAGAAACCCCCAGAAAACCTAGCTTTCAAAAGTACAGCTGACAAAGGCTCACTTCAATTATACATACATTGCTATTTTTAAAGTAACTAATATCTGAGCTATATTTTAATCTTTAAGCAGTTCTGAGCTTTAAATATGCAAAATTTAAAGAACGATACTAATGTAACATAACTCAAATCCCTTTATTGCTGAGGAATATGAACAGCCCAAAATACACCTTTTTGCACAACTGAAGCACCTTCAGTTTCACAGTAATGGAACAACAGTAGCATAATAAACAAGCAGCCCAACAGTGAAAACTTAAGGAACACACAACAGATTTAACATGTCATAACCTAAAATCAACCAAGATTATTATCACTCAGTGCTGAACACTTCCAGAAAGAAGAGTGCTTCAACCTCCATTGCTTAGGAGATATGAAAAGCCTGCTGCTTCTCAATGGTCCTGCACATGGTGACATCATTTCCACCACAATAAAGCATGCCTGAGAAAGAGTCAAATGAGAACGGCAGCATCAGCTCTGCACTAGCTGACAACATAAGGTGCAAAAGAGAAATCAGGGCCAGTTGCAGAGAGAACAGCCCACTACTAGCTGAAACTGTTCCTAATCTGCAGTAGGATCCTACTGTTTTATTCAGTTTCTCTGCTCTTGAAATATTGAGTACAAAGAAGTTATTAATTACACCACTTGCTATCAGTGCTTTTCAGGCTTCTTTCCCCTCCCCAGATTGCTCCTAACTAGGGAGCAAGTTTGAAACGAAATTTGAAAATAATTTTCATGACACTATCCCTCTGTATCACCTACCATCTGAAATCATGCTAATACATACTTAGGAAATGAAGCTGGATATCCAAACAGATGAGAGAACTGATGTGAATTAATCGTCAGCTCACTAGAAACTTTAATGCTATGATCATTTTAGGAGTTTTAATACCACTGTGAATCTTTGAAAAAAGGCTGCATGGAATTTAAAGGAAAGAGCAGTAACATACTTTGTGCCCTGTAAAACAAGATCCAAAGATATGATATCAATGTAGTCAACTTTATGGACACAAAATCATATCAGTAAGTACTTAATACTTTAAAAAAAAAGACATAAACTAGCTCTATAGTATTCTGCACTATCATGAAATAGATTCAGAGGTAATCATCAGAGGAAGACTGGGGAGAAGGATTCACGCAGCTTACAAGCAAACTCCATGGTGATTAAGAAAGGGTGGTGATACTCTGAAAAGACCTTTAGTGAGGTCTTTGTAGGAACCAGTAAATATAGACTCAAAGATGGAATTCAAAGTAAGGTACAAAAATCATCTATGGAACTTCAACAGAAATACAGAAATACTTTCTGAAAGTGTAATAAAAATAAAGCAAAACAAAGAAAAATAAGAAATGCCTTACACTAGAAATGTGATTGTGTCTGACAAGTGCACTTGCCTAGACCATGACATTATCTGTTCAGAATTTACAATATGGCTCATAACCTGAAACTATGACCTTACCTTGGCATGAGCAGGCCCTCTTTCATTCAGAAGCTTGTACTGGGGTTGAATTCTGTTGAAACGGGCTAACTCATTTACCAGACACATTGGAGTTTTCTCTTTGGGGTTTGCCGTGATATCTTGGAGAGGAGCTGCAAACAAAGAGTCTGTAAATTTTTTGTGGAGAAATGTATTCTTCACAACTTTGCAAAACTTTACAAAAGCAGCAGTACGCTTAAAATAAGAAAATACTTTAGCTAAAAAACAATTTTTGCAAAAATGCTAAAGACAATGTTTAAATACTATTTACATATTAATCATATGACAATATACATTTTATCATAACCATTTCAATTACATGCAATAGAAAAAACAGATTTTCTTTTCAAAATATATTTATAAAAGATGGTAAAGTAGGAGGATATATACATACGCTACATTTTCTGCAACACCACTAAAGTTTATTGTCAGTAGTGTACTGGCTACAGGAATTAACTTTCTTTCAGAATGATTTCTAAACATTTTCAAACTGTGGATAGCATAAGGTTTCCAAGATAAGCACAGTGGATGAAAGCCTGCGGTCTTCGTTTGCTTTTCCCTCCTTCTTCCCAGTCCTTTAGATTTTCCTCATAATAATTAAGCCATTTTCAGAGTAACTCCCAAAGAACACCTTTCCACCTCTTTTAAGGATTTTGTTCTGCTTTTTTAAAACAGATTATTTACTTGGTATATACGGTCTTAGTATTTTTTTTATCCTTCTATTACTTACTTCTTTCAACTTGACTGTATTTATCCCTAATACAAACTTTCATTACTTGCTTAAATTTTTAGGATAAGATTTCTGTATTTTATATCCAGTCAAGCATAGGAACTACAGCATTTATTAGGCTACAAAGGAAACACCAAATACTGCCAAGCACTCCGAAGACATTCTGTTCTAGGGAAGAGAAATACACTTGGAGACCTTCCTGCACGACTAAAACTTCTCTATATAAGATAGAGTCAGAATTTGACAAAAAAGGCCATGTTCTTTCTGGGCTTTTATATTATTTACCAATGCTTCACTGTAAAACTGACCTGAAGAAACTTAACTTAGTAAACAGTCTATGTAACAAAAATTTTTTTCTACAGAGTTTTCTTTCTTTAGTTTAGTCTCCTTTAAGATCTAATTTTTTTTTTATTAACAAGTCGTCAAAAAGCTGAATTTGAACAACAAAAAAAATATACCTGGACCAACTTACCTGGTGAGTTGCTCGAAGGCGCAGGATCCACAAGGCCAGCAGTAGGGCTGCTACAGCTGGCAGCTGATTCAGAAATGGATCCATTCATGGAGGACTGCAGACCCAGTGTAGCTGTCGTTGTTACTGGTAGGGGTAGCACCATAGGGGACATGGTAGGTCCAGAGAGGTTTGCTGTAGTCTGCATCTTAACTTGTGCCATTGTCTTTTACTGCAATAAACAAATAATTATGAGCAGGGTACCTTCGTATTTTGAATGTCAATTGCAAGTACTGTTATTAACAACACCTCTTTTTGCTACTGGATCTTTCACACATGGGTCATAAAACTATTCAGAAATGTCATTCCCCTGTAAAGATTAACTCCAAATAGAAGTAGAACAGAAACAGAGCTAAATGCCCACAGTCAAAGAACATGACTAAAGCAGAACCCACACTTCCTGATTTTAGGTTCTGTTGCTTAACTATGGGATAATCCTGCCTAAAATACAGCAGGAAAAATGATTATTCTAGAGTAAGATTCCATATAATTCTTCTGTGGATGAAATTAGCGCTTGTCACCTTCTACATGAGCTGAGGCCTTCACAAAAAAACTGCGGTACCAATCTTTTGCCATAGTTTTTACAGCTGGGTGCACACAAAATACCAAACAAGGCCATTAAAGAATATCCCTAATTAGTCTGCCTGTTTTCAAACTAGAAAAGAGACAAAATAGGAGAAGGAGAAAAAAGAAAAATCCTGAGAAGTTCTGAAAAATTACTTCTGCTTCCAGTCAACAGGCAGAAAACTTCAGTCTTTGTACAAAGGGTATCACGGATTTCCTACTCTAGCCTGTAATCCAGTGCCTGAAATGCCAGATACGAATTCTCTCTCTCTCTTGTTTCCCCAGATGGGTTTATTTATTACCAACACACGTTCTCTGGCTAAGTCTATACTAGTACACAAAACAGGGTCAGGGCATGGCTCCTTCATGCTCTTCCACCAAGAGTATGCTGCCTGGTACAGTTTTGGCTCCTGCCAAATCCTTGCAGGGAACAGCTGGGACAGTGGAGAGGACAGGACAGCGGGCATCCCAGGCAAGTCAGGAGAAGTTTGGAAGGAGCCAAGTTCAGCCTAAGAGGTGGAGGACAGAGGAAAGTCTTAGGCTTTTCCTTTGGGCATTAAGACCAAACAGGAAAAGCCTAGTTTATCTAGCGATACAGAGGTAGACTGTATTTCTTAGGCCTCATATGCGTTACATGATATGTGCAGGGCGGACAGAGAGACCAATCCCAGAGCAGTCGATAGCCCAGCGTCCTGGGACCTTTCCCGGCTCAGAGCCGGGTACCTCTGCCCAAGGGAGAGGAGGACGTGAGAGTAGTCCTGCTCCACATGTGGAGTGCCTTAACCACCAAAGCTTTTGGCTACTTTTGCTGCGGTAATTCCCTCCTCCTGAGGAAAAATCCCATCCAAGACCCGAAAAAGCAATTCAGGTCTTATTGAAACAAATACAACTATTTAAAAGAATTGATTTTTGATTAAATCAGTATTTCTGGCCTCCAAAAGAACTGTTAAAGAATATCCCAGTATCTGTACTCAAATGGACTATATTGCTGGATTAAAACCCCAAATCATTAGATACAGCATACAGTGCAACTACTGTAGTACAGTTCAGCTTGTATAACTAAAATGATGAATCCTATTACTGTAAATCTGCACTTTGAGGAAGAAGTTCAGATTGGATTATCATTTTTGCTACATAGGAAAGACAGAACACTCTGATTTAAATCTCTGGAGAGACAAAAGTAAAAAAATAAAGAATAAAGCTGAGATGCAATCATTTGCCCTTTCCATAAAAATGGTAAATCAAATCTACCAGTGACAGATTTTAAAAACATGCATGTAGTCAACTGAGATATATTCAAATATTTCACATATTCAAAATATAAATTCAGACTGTAAAAATACTACTGTTACTTAACAGAAAATATCACACAATACAGCAGTACTGTTAGAGGTATCTAACTTAAAGACTGAGCAAGTGTATGCCTATGGACTTCTTTGGCATTCTGTGAATATTTAATTATTTAGGTTGGTTTCTACAGCATAGATGATGACAAAAATCAGTCCATATTTATTAAATATCTTCTTTAAAATGAAATCAACATAATTAAATACTACCAAAATATGTATAGCATTATCATAATATATTATCAAAATATTTAAATTTTAAGATACGTGTTAGAGTTATTTGCAGCATTTTGGCTTATAATGGCAAGTACAGGAAAGGTATCATTCCTCTTATACTGTACAGGATCCTACGGAAGGCATATTCTCAAGCCCTGTCATGCTAATACCCAAATAAAACCGTAAGTTTTATTAACTACATTAATAGCTGCTACACTACCGTTGTACTAAAGAGATAAATTATAGGAATGATCCTTTTTTACTAAGGATAAACAATCAGTTTGATAATGGTATCAAGGAACAGGAAAAATACATAAGAAAAAGTTTAGGAGAAAAAGAAGAGATTCTTTGTACTAAAGCGCTGGGGAAATTAAACTATGAAATCCAGAATAAAATCATAACATATTAAGAGTTGAGGTTTGTTTGTTTTATTAATTTTGTTGCATTTCTAAAGCTGAAGTAGTCCTACAAGGATAGATAACTACCTTTTAAATTCATCTGCATAATGATGCCCAGAAAGTAAATATAACTGTAGGGACTAGCTTTCAAGCATATGAGATGTGGAGGTATTTTGCAATCAGTTCTAGAAGTATAGTAATATATAGAGAACAGAGAAAACACAGTTGATACAGTGCTGCAATGAGATTTTCATATTACCAAGGAAATAATCTATCGTGTCATTACAAAAAAGGGGAGGAAACTCATATGCTAAACCTTTTCATTACATGTTTTATAGACGCCAATAGCATCATACTATTTTAGAAGTAATGAAACAAAAACATTTTGAGTCCTTCCAGCCGCAAGCATGAAATTATTTATTACTACAAAACAAAGGATAGGACTCACAGGGAAAGATATTTTACTGAGCTGTTCAGACATGAATACAGTTAAATAGTCAAAATAGTTTTAAATCTTCTATGTGAATACTTTTATAAAATTTGGCATATACAGAACGGATAATTTCTAAGGATACTATGAATGGGTTTAGGATAGCCTCCACACCTCATTTCAAGGAGCTAACCAAACTCATAGCTATGAAATTGTTATATCACAGTATCAGCCAGAGTTTTTCTTTATGTTAAATGACGGTTATAGATATGCAGATGTTTGTTAGCAATCTTTACGGTTCAGCTGCCAGCTACCAGCTTTGTTTCTTTATAAAAGTCACTAACTACCAAACTGACCCATCAGAGCAATGATATTACTTAGAGTTTTCAACACAGATGTGCCTATAGATTTGCAGTCTATGAACTACAATGCCGCAATTTTTAAAAAGTTGTATTTAAAAAACTTACGTTGACTTCTAAAATACAGCAATGTTTCTCTTCTTTTACATCAGCTTGCATAGATACAATATAAATTCTGCAGCAGGCATTTAAAAGGATTTAAATACACTATAATTGCATTATACTTAATTTCCAAATTTGAAAGCACTTTGTATATAGGCAATTTCACAGGTTCCACTGAACAGGCTGGGTATTAACTTTCTTGTTCAACAACATAAAAGGTGTGATTTTTTTTCCTCTCACATCAAAAAAAAAAAAAAAAAAGCCCTCACATTTTAAAGTGAAAATACCACTGTCAAATATTCAATTAATATTTCCTGCAAGTTAGGAAATATAACATTAGCTTACTTATATTCATAGCTACAAAATATTTTCAACAGATGTGAAGACACCTGTGCTATCCAAAAAATGCTCCACACAACATAGAAAAAACAGAAGTAATTCTTTAACGATTATCATTTCTTGTACTTTTCTGGAATATCCATCACTCTATATCCTTACGCCTTATGATATAGGATATAAATGAAATGCTGAGATGAAATGATTCTTACAATAAGGCAAACCAACAGAAAAAAACAAAGACAAAAGTAGGTAAGATAGAACAAAATGTGGAAATAAGAATAGTAAGTTTCTAAGTTAAATGTACTTCCACAATGTGGAAAAATTTAAAAAGCCAAAACCTGACTTGAAACGCAAGTTGCTGTGTGAAAAATCAACACAGTAAGAGAAACTAATGACCTGAACAGCCAAAGTAGAAGGCTGAATTTTATCTGCATGGAACGTGAAAATGTTTATCTGCAGTACGGCGCTTCCAGACGTTGCACTACTGTGTCGTACAACTCCAAGTACACAATCTAATTTGCATACAAGTACGTAGCAAATGACATAGTAGTTATTTGTGAAGTGCTTTACTAAAACTAACAGCTGAGGGCCAGCCACTGCTGAGTAAAACAGATTACTTGACATATCTTGTATCTTATACATC